GCCCCCACCCCCACCGCCCCACACCATCTTCTTTGCCCTTCAGATCCTGAGCCAGGCTTTGCCCGCAGGAGGCAGGGGCAGGGGCAGGGGCAGGGCAGGCAAACAGCTGGCACACCCCGTTAGTCTGGCACCGCTGTTTACAGCTGTGACTTCTCAGATGGGGTGGTGCCATGCCATACCTGTCCTTAAATATTTTCAATGTCTGTGCTGAGTACAAGGAGTGATGGGGAGTGGCTCAGGGGAAGGAGGAGTAGACCCAGACTCTCCAAACAGCAAGTGGCTCCCCCACAGAGGACCTGTGCACCCAGGGGAGCGCTGCATGTTTGCCTCTTTAAGGGGTGGCCTGTTTGACAGCTCCTGAGTATGCATCTATTTCTGAGGGTATCCTCTGCCCCATGAACTCCTCTGTAAGTCTGTTGCTGCCTCCCTTTCTTAGGGACCCATCGAAATATCCAGAACTAAAGCCAAAGATGTTCAGCTGGAAATTGTCTGGTTCCATGGAAGAGATCAGAAAACTGAGGCCCAAAGAGGGAATGTCTTACCTGAGGTCACACAGGTGAGGGACAGAGCTGGGACTGAACCCCAGGGCTCCAGTGTTCAGGCTACAGTCTGACTTACCTCACAGGAGCTCATCTTCCCACATCAATGGCCTTTTTAGCCAATGCCCAGCCCCCTCATGACCTCCATCCACTAGAGAAGATCAATCTTAACAGCTTAGTTCAGAAACAGCTCCAGTCTCAAAGGTCCCCTCTAGACCAGGAGAGGGGCATGGAGATCCCACAGGCTATCTGATTTTCTTCCATCAGGAGGAGCAGCTTCCACCTGCCACAGCCCCAGTTTCCCATCCACCCCTGTGCCAAGCCCCCCTCCGCTTGAGCAGAGTCTCTGAAGCCTGAGGAACTGGGATTTGCCTCCTGGCTCGGCGCCCCCGAGTATGTTTCATGGGCCTTAAGCTCTGAGAAGCTCAGGTTTCTCATCTGTGACACCAAGATGATAGTAATTGCATCTTCCTCACTGGGCCTTGGTGGACAGCAAAGGAGGTAATATGAGTAAGACGCCTGGAGACCCTGGGCCCTCATGCTGCTGTGGCTTCGTCAGCAGCATCACAGCAAGAGAGACGCCCTGCCAGAGCCCCAGCCAGGAGCCCTTCTCCAGGAGGGGTGGGCCACCAAGCCGGCATCGTAGAAACATGCCCAACAGCTTTAAGAAGCCACAGGTTTTGCCTCCGGGAACTGGGAGGTCTGACCCAGAGGATCTGAGCTTCTCCTCAGGCTGAGCTACCTCCAGTTGGAAAGGTAAACCCTTGTCAGGGACCCTGGGCAGGGAGGAGGGAAGGTAGAGGGGACCAGAGCGAGTCATTTCTCCAAAATCCCTTTACAAAGATGGGCAATGGAGGTCCCCACGTTAGAAAAGATTGAGAAGCAATATGGAAAAACATGAAGCAACAACAGAACTAAATCCAGTGGACTTGAACTTGGGCCAGAGGGATGTAACCTGCCCCCATGCCACCCACCTTTCTCTCCATGGAAACGTCCCCGATACCAATAGCTCCATGCTCTCCCTATCCTGTCCTCTGGCCCCAAACCCTTCTTCTCTTGTGGGGACAAGGTCTTCCAGGACTGTTAGTCCCTAAACACAGACCAACCAGCGGCCTAAGACACCAAACCATCTGGCTACTACCAGTTAGCCCTCCTGGAACTGTCACAGGGGTCTCCTCCAGCCCTCAGGCTCCTGCCAGATGGCGCCTCCTTACTCTCATCTTTCCACATTGTGGAGAAAACATTCCTCGGCCCAGGAGACTGGGGCTAGTCGGCAGCCAGCAGTGGGGCAGGGGGTCATGGTGTTATCCTATCTGGGCCTCAGTTTCCTCTCGGTGCAGTGGCAGGGCTCGATGGGAGAACTCCCAGAGCCTGGTCAGCCCTGACCTTTTACATATCTGGCTGGATCTCCTTCCCAAAGATTTCCCCAGGCTCTCAGCGGGCACTGAGCGCTCCTCCCGCATTCCTCCCACGCCAGGAAGCGTTTCCTATCGCGTGAGCGCAGGGGTCCCCGGGGGCCAGGGTTCGGGGTAAGGGTTGGGATATGACTTCAAAAGCCCTGTGTCATCAGTGCTTGCTCCTAAATCGTAATTAAAGCAGGATAATATTAACACTGAGACTTTGACATTTGCCAGACACTGGGCTATATGTGCATTTCATCCCCGCAACAACTCTCTGAGATAGGTGGCATCATTTAAAGAAGTTAGTAAAAGAGAAAAACAACGCCTGCGGTTCAGAGAAGCTAAGTAACTTGCCTAAGACACATAGCTAGTTACGGCATAGCTGGGATTCAAACACATGACTTTGACTCTAAAGCTAAAACCACTAAGCCATAGGGCACATGTCTAAGGACTGTCCTAATCTGAGACCTG